GATTTATTTATAAAATTATAAAGAGATTGTATTCAATATACAATAAAAATTTTTATGAAGTGTTTTCTAATCTTGAAAACTTTATTAAAGATAATATTATAAATATATAATTGCAAGTAAATATTATATTTTTTATTTCTTTAATATTATTTATTTTGTAAAAAAATAGTATCTAATATTAATATTAAAAAAATAGAATGATTTATGAAACAATTACAGTTTTTTTGATAATATTTTAGAAAAGATTTTAAAAGAAATTTGAAAGTTGACATTACTAAAAATCTAAAATACAATTCTTGTATAAGTCATTATTTAGTTTATATATTTGAAATACGTATATTCAAATTATATGTTAATATATATTTACAATATGATAAATTATTTTTACTTTTAAAACTTATAAAAAATAAATTATCAGTTAAATATCATGAGTTTATAGATTTTAAACTAAAGTAATTGATATTTTAATTATCTTATCTTATAAAAAAATTTTATCTAAATTTACAATTTATTATTAAACTTCAAAAATTAGATGATAATAATATAATTTTTATTGTTGAAAATTCTTTTTTAAACTGCTTGTGAATAAAATTAGAATATTTTGAAAAATATAGATAGATCTTACATTTAATTTTGATTTATCAAAAAATAAAGATATATAAATATAAATATTAAAGTATTTGATCATTAGTTAAATAATATTAAGTAAAATGCTTGATCTACTATCTCTTTTTTTTTATACTGTAATAAAAATCTTAAATCATAATCTAAATGAATAGTCATAATTTCAGATAATAGATTATATTATCATAACACATAGTTAATAATTACACTTTCCTATTAACATAATTGGTATAATATAAAAATAAGATGATAGATATTTTTAGAAGTTGGAAAAGCAAAAAGTTTCATAAATTCCTATTATACTCAAGTAATGTGAATTTAAAAATTATAATACAAAAAAAAACTAATAATTAGTAAATTAATAAAAATTGATAAAAAATCAGAAAATAAAATAGACAATTTGAAAATTACAGAATTTACTTCATTTTTTATAGATTTTCAAATTATAAAATATTATGTAAGACTTGAAATAAATATTGCTGATGGAAAGAATATTTAAATATAATAAAAATATAAATTTCATAATTAATACCTGAATATGAATCTTATAAGTATCTTATAAACTAAATTAAATAATTTATATGTTAGATACTAGTAAAATCAACTTTTTTTAATAAAGATCAAAAGATAAATTTTAGAATAATAACTATATAAATAATTAAATAAGTGTTCTTGATTAATTAATAATTCTAATAAAAGTCTTATTTTAGTTTATATTTTATGAATAGATATTAATAACTTCAGTAAAAATAAAAAAAATAGAAAAAACTCTAATTATAATACTAATTTCTAATTTTACTATATTTTCTAAAGCAACTAATCTATGAATAGCTTTGATACTAAAAAATAATAAGTAAGATTTATATATTAAGTATGATAGTTGATTTCAAATATAATTCTAAAATGTTATTTTATTAGCATTAAAAGTAAACAATTTTTAATATAAAAGATAAAAATAAATCTGATAAGTATTTACATTTTTCTTTTATTATCTTACTTTATATATAGATACTAATCTAATTTTTAAATTTAAATATATTTTTTTCTGCTGATATGAATTTGGTTGAATTTTTAAATAATAAAACTTTTTTTTTCACAAAACATTATTTAAAGTTTATTATTTTATATATACAATCTTATGTTTTTAGTTATTTACTAATATTTTAACATTTTTTATAGATAAAATAGTTTTTTTGCAGGATAGGCTCTAAAAAAAAGTATTAAATCAATGAAAAGTAGTAAAAAGAATAAAACTAGAAATTAAAGCACTTATAAATACAATATTTTTGAATGGAAATATTGATAAAAAAATAAAATGTTTGCATTAGAAATGTATAATAATCTTATAATGTGTATTATAAGAAGAAATTGAAAAGAAAGACATTTTAAAGTTTTAACTATTTAAACTGGATTGCAAATTATATTAGGACTTTCAAAGCTTTAGTTTCACTTTATGCTTTAGAAGAAGTAAAGTTTTTGAAAAATTACAAATAAATTATAAATAAAGAATTTTAGTTTAAATTTTTAACATAATGTAATTATTTTAAATCAGCAAATGTTTTAGTATAGTTTTTTTTATAAGTAAAATCCAATGTTGACTAAACTAAAAGTCTTTTTTATATAATAAAGATCTGCTGTTTTTTTGATATTATACTTGAATAGATATATAGAAGCGAACTATATATGATTTTTTATATTTTATGTAATATTTGAGTTTTTTCTTTTTTAGTACTTTTGGCAATTATATTTATTTCATAGTTATTCATTAAAATTTGTCTTTCAGATCTGCATAATAATTTAGTGATGATCATATTGGGATTGGTATTTAAATATTAATTTGTTTTTTTTTCAACTTTCACCTTATATATTTTGTAATAAAACATTTTAAAAAAATCAAAATTTAATTTATAAACTAAATATGTTTCTTTTTTTTTATTAAAATAAAATCTAGATTTAATATCTTTATTATAAAAATTTATATAAATTAGTAATAATAATTATATATGAAAATTATGATTATGAGAATTTTTTTATTTTAGAATAAATATTTAATTATAATCTATAAAATTTTTTTAGCAATATTATAAAATAAGTTATTGGTTTTTAGAAAAGAACCAATTATTCTTATTAATAAATTTTCTTTTTATATCTGTATAAGTAAAATAATATAAAAAAAAAAACCTTTGAAAAAAATTTTTATTTAAACTTTGCTAACTTAAAAATAAATCTTTACAAATATTAGAATTTTATTAAATGAATAAATAAAAAATAATTAATTAATTTAAATAATCATTAAATCCTACTAAAACATATATTAAATTAATAATAAATGATCCTATAATCCTATAACTTAGAAATTGAACCCACTGGTTCTTCGCATCCCAGCATTGATTTCTCAAATTGGAGAGTTGATGACGAGCCGTGTTCAAATTTTTACTTAAAGGATTATACTAGAATCATTTAAAATTTTACAAATTTGCTTTGCTATATATGCATTGTAAAAATTTAAATTAAAAGGTAAAGTAAAAAATTGTTTGTAAATAAAAAAAGTAAAAATCATATAACTTGTAATTTAATTTAATAATAAATGATAAAGTAAAATCCTATAACTTAGAAATTGAACCCACTGGTTCTTCGCATCCCAGCATTGATTTCTCAAATTGGAGAGTTGAGGACGAGCCGTGTTCAATTTTTTACTTAAAGGATTACACTAAGTTCATTTAAAAATTTTATAAATTTGTTCTGCTAAATGTAACATTGTGAAACTTTAAATTACAGTAAAAGGTAAATAGAAAATTGTTTTGAAAATAGGAAAATGATTTTTTAAAAAGTAGAATTTTTTTTTTTAAAAAAAAAATGATTATTATATAATTTTTGTTATGCTAATTTCAAAATACTATATATCTATAAAATAAAAGTATAAATGCATAAAATAAATAATATATTATTCGTTAATTTTTGATTATTTAATTTATTTATTAAAATTGATTACAAAAGATAAATTATACATATCTTTTTGCAGAATGCTTCTACACAAACCCATTATTACACCAGCTAAAAAGTACGTTCTGATATTAGAATTTCAAGAATCATTATATTACTAATATCAAATTCTCTTCAGAAAAAAACACATTCCTTATAACTTATCACTTCTACCAAAATCCGAATGAAGTTAGAGTTTTAAAAGTTAGATAAGTGCGAGTTTTTACCGAATAATAAAGATGATCCGATAATCTTTGGGGAAAATTACCTCGGACACGTGATTTATACAAATAAACTGTCATCCTCGTCACTCCTTTCCGGGTTTCATTTTTTATTATGTAATTTGGTTTTTTAGGGTGTGAAATTTTATTTGTCATTCGTTATTTGTCACAGCAGCACCCTCACTTGTGATGTGGGATTAGGGTTAAAACATTGCGCACCGTTTAACAAATTCCATTATTTGAATAAAAATTTATACAATGAGCAAAAATTTATAATTGTTAAATTTGAAATAACGATCATAAAAATAAGTATCACTGGATAACTAACTAAATTTGTAAATCTAAGATAATATATAATAAAATAAAAAAAATATAATAAAGATACTGAATACGATAAAGAAAGAAGGATTTATTATTATAATGAGATTAATAAATATTCAAAATATCTAAAGAATCAGTTAATTAAAATGTCATTTAATGTAAATTTTCTAAAAATTTATACTCGTAATTAATATAAATAGTGATTTGGGAATCTCGATAAAAATTTCGATTTGTTTGGTTCGAGTTTTAATAGTTTCCACATTAATTTTAGGTTTTGAAAGATTATACTGTATTCTCGAGAGAAATAATATTTCACCTAAAGCAAAAGTAAAATTTTTTTTACAGTGAGCGCCAATTAGTAAATTGTGTACATTAATTAACTAATTTTTGATTTAGAATCGTAAATATTTTTTTATTATAAAAAACAATTCTATTTATCTATCTATAAGGAGATTTTTTTAAAAATTTCCCTCATAAAGATTTTTTGAAAGAATGAAAGGAATATAGCAATTAAATATCTACTTTACGATAATGAACTAGAGAAATATATATAATTTTAAACGGAATTAATGAGATTTTCATTTAAATGCTATTTTTAAAAAGAAACTTTTTTTGATCCAAAAAATATTTATCCAAACACTTTCCCGTATATTAATATAATATATTTTTCCCGTATTATACAGGTTTTTTAAGTTATTTTCTTTTTTTTTTGAATGTAATATACAAAGTTCAATTTTTTTTTTTTTTTTTTTTTTTTTTTTTTTTTTAAAAAAAAAAAACACACTATAATTCTTCTTATTATTAATAAAAAATTTAAAAAAAAACGGCCTTATGATTCGAATGGTGATAGTTTTATCTTCTATTTGGAAAATCACACAAGATTGATTTACCATTTTGCTTGCATGTTAGTACTCCGGGACAAGTTCTTGAAACCATTTTACCATTATCACATGTAAGGAATTCACCACTTTCACCTTCTTTACCACAGACCATTATACCATTTTCGCTACATGGAATTTCATCATTTCCTTTGGGGTTGTCAGGTTCTTTGGGATTTTCATCTTCCTTAGGTTCTTTTGGATTTTCGTCTTCCTTGGGTTCTTTTGGATTTTCGTCTTCATTGGGTTCTTTGGGATTTTCATCTTCCTTGGGTTCTTTTGGATTTTCATCTTCCTTGGGTTCTTTGGGATTTTCGTCTTCCTTGGGTTCTTTTGGATTTTCATCTTCCTTGGGTTCTTTGGGATTTTCATCTTCCTTGGGTTCTTTGGGATTTTCATCTTCCTTGGGTTCTTTTGGATTTTCGTCTTCCTTGGGTTCTTTGGGATTTTCGTCTTCCTTGGGTTCTTTGGGATTTTCGTCTTCCTTGGGTTCTTTGGGATTTTCATCATCTTTTGGATTCTTTCCATTGCCAATCTTTAAAGCCAAATTAGCTTCAACATCTTCTTTTCTTGGACCGGAACCGACAGCATTACCATTATTCGAATCATCACCTTCAGGGGTTAAAATTTTCTCGAAAAGAGGAGGTAAATTTGCTCTTGTAATATCAATGATAGGTAAAGGTTCGGTGGCATTTCCTACGATTTTAATATCAGCACAATTTTGATAAAATTCTCTATTTCCTAAGGCATTAACCCAACTCCAAGAAAAGATACAATTCCCGGCATCATCACAAGAAGGAGCATTTTCTGGGATCTTAACCTTCCAACCGTCGAAAAAGATATCAGGACAAGTTTTTTTATAAGTGGCAATGACAGTATAAGATTCACCACCGTCATAAGATAAGGCGAATTCACAAATTCCACCGTTATGCCTTGCTTGATCCTTTTGTTTATCCTCATCTTTTAATTCGGGAAAGTTTTGATTAAAAAATTTGACCTCAAAAACTTCCCCGGCATTAAAAGTTGTAACGATCTTTTTATCTTTTGGGTAACCACCACATGGAAACTTTTTTGGGGCGCATCCCGAACCACCATTTAATGGTGCCGAGATACATTGAAAATCTTTGACGGCTGCATTTTCATTTAATGGATGTCCTCTTGGTGGAGGAAATGATATGGTGGTATGTGATGAAACTGTAGAGACAAATGTAGCGAAAATAGCGATGAGAGCAGAAGAGAACTTCATTATGGATTTAGTAATTTTTATATTAAAAAGGGAATCAGTAAAAAAAAATGGAAATGAAAAAATCTCTAAATCTAAAATATGTATTATATAAAATAAAGAAAATAAAGAAGTTCTAGCCTGCTAGAAAGTAAGAAGAATTTTAGTGTGTTTTTTTTTTTTTTTTTTTTTTGTTAAAAACTTTGTATATGTAGAGTCAACAGAGCCCGTCCGGGGGATTATTGCTCCTTTTTATTTTTTTAAAGGGAAAATTAAAAGGTTAGAACGAAAGAGTTGGAAATATTTTTGGATGGAGAAAAAACTTTCGTGACAAATGAGCCGTATTTATAGAAATTCTGATCCATTGAAATCCATTGAAACACGATATTCTCCTTTACTTGAAATCTTTCGAGTTTCATTATCCCGAACGTTCACAGAAATTCATTTGTTTGTGGGGGTGGAGATCATTTACTTTTTTATTATTCCTCTCTGACAATTTCAGTCAAGAAATTTTTTATTTTTTCTTGAGAAAAACCATTAACTAAATTTAGACGATTGTGTAATTTGAAATGTTTTTACTGAGTACCTGGGTTAACCAGCACCTCTAATTCAAATTAATATGTATATGTGCTACGCCTTATTGCATAATTGGGCAAATTTTAATTTTTTTTTTTGTCCCGATCATCCTTTGTCTGTTATCTATTGTTTTACTCATGTGGAAGATTAACTTTTATTATATTGTTTCCTTTATTTAGGTTATGACCTTTGAACATCCCTTTTGGATGCAGTTTTTTTTTTATTCGTGTGTTGCCGAGTTTAGTAATATTTAATTAATCAAGGCGTTAATCATCACTGGCAACAAAATAAGATAACTTACATTGTGATTTTATTTTTCGAAACCCTTTTCCCTTCCGATTTACATCATGTCAAAATAAAACGTAATGGTTGACCTAAAAAAAAAAAAATTTTTTTTCAAAAAAAATTCTAATTCTTAAACAAAACAAAATAGATTCGGTGTTATTGAAACAGGTGCGCAGTCATCTGCAGGTGTTGCGAACCAAACGAGATCACAATTAAAATTAAGAATATTCTTTGTATTACTTTCAAACAAAAAAGATGCTTCTCTTGAAGTCTTATTTTAATGCAGCAAACAATTTCTTCCGACCACTCATTATGTAAGTTGACCAAATCAAGCTATCAAAGTACAAAATAAACTACGAATTCTTTGTCAAAAATGAGGATTTCAAATTTATGGGAGGTTACACGAGTCCGTGGAAAAAAAATTAAATATGTAAGACTATTTTTATCCACCATGAGATAACTCGAATGAGTTGCTACAGATTGGATCGGATCTCTTGCAGATTTGTTTGTCATTTTAAATCAGGAGAGTTTTCAACCTGATTCAAGGTTTTTAAGGGATTGTCGGAGTATGTACTTTATCTCTTAATGTAAACAGATGTTATCTGATATCATGCATTATTTTTGGGACCATTTTTAGACGTGTCTAGAACGTCATCAATAATTCGATGGCAAAATGTGACGTGATACAATATTGAATAAGAGTAAGTTTGGATTAACCTCAATAATTTATCAAGAACGAATAATCAAAAAAAAGAAACGATTATATATTAAATGTATAATTACATTTTTATGAATCACAAATATTTAAATACTTTTTATTTTTTACTACATCATAGTTATTACATTATGTAACATTGATCGGTCACACCGGGGACGATCACATAAATCTTTTTTTTTCTCTCACGACATACGCGACATACGAATTGACTTTGTATAATGCACTAATTGTTTTCTTTAAACTTTCCCCTTCTCACATTTTCATTTTATTTTTTATTTCTTTAAAAAAAAACACCATTATTTGTGCCGAAGTACTTTTGGATCGCAAATTCTGGATGAAATTCATGTTAAACGAAGTCTCAAAGAAATTTTCGGTGGTTGTCGTTTTCATGATCCCATTGCATTTGTCACATTAACGTGCTAGCCTACCACGGTTAATCTCAACGCGTCTGAATGTAACTGGTTCATACTTTTTGCTCGCCATTAATATTCATTTTGATTTATATATATGCCGATCTAATGAAATGAATTTACCTTCGAAAATTCCTAAAGGTTGGAAACAAATAGACTTATGTAATCTTGTTCTATGGTATTATAATGGGAGTCCGATCCGGCCTTATTCATCTCGCACTTACAAAAGCTTTTAAAGAAGGATATTTGCCAAAATCACTTTTACGTAACGTCAACTTTTTGATTCTGAAGATCTCTGTCCATCCCGAATGAATTCTATCCTCATTATCTACGGAGTAGATGAGTTATGGACCTGAAACATTCTCATGTAAACAGTTATTCTATTTTACCTGAAAGATCAACTTGAAAGAACAATAGAAAAATTTATTTATCCAAACGAAACAGTAATATTGTTTCTAATAACCTTTTAAACAAAATGATAAATATTAATTGAGCTAATATATTGTAAAATTGTTGTAGATTGCAGATCCACCCAAATAATGCACCATATCCCTTAAAAAATGTAGGCTATTTTTAGCATCAATGCGAGGGTATATTTTTAACCTGGGTTACATAATATTGTATGCAAAGAAGATCATTTAATTTAATTGATTTGTAACTCAAAAAGGAGTAATACGTTTCTGATATTGTAAATGTCAAAACGGTCTGTAAATAAATAGATGATCTTTTTTTTTTTTTTTTTTTTTTTTTTTTTTTTTTTTTTTTTTCCAGATGTATACTCCCGGTCGACTCCAAATTCGAAATGTCGAAACTTAAGTCGCAAGTCGAAACTATGTTCAATCGAAACTAGGATCAAAAGATCGATACTTGTAATATAGCTTTTTTTCATTTGTAATGCATGATATTTCTTAATTTAGTCATTCATCATAATGCAATATATTTTTTTTTTTTGGATCACCTTCGGATAAACGAAAAGTAGAAAAGATTCTGCCACAGATTATAATAAAACTTGCAAACAATAGCAATTAGATTTACATTCAATAATTACGATATCAACAATTAGAAACTAGGATCAAAAAGTTCGATACTTGTAATAGCTTTTTTCATTTGTAATGCATGAAATTTCTTAATTTAGTCATTCATCATAATGCAATATTTTTTTTTGGATCACCTTCGGATAAACGAAAAGTAGAAAAGATTCTGCCCCAGATTATAATAAGACTTGCAAAATAATAGCAATTAGAATTACATTCAATACGTATTACTATACTTTTTTTGAAGAAATAAAAAAAAATTTGAAATTCAAACGTAAAAAAAATTGTAAATTATTTTTAATAACTTGAAATTCCATTTTAATGTAGAACTTTTCTAATCACCATCCCCGATGATTTTCTTAAACACCATCCAAAAGTGGCGTAGTATATAAAGTGGCGCAGCACACAAGTACGCAATTAATATTTATTATTAATTTATTAATAATAATAGGCATATAAATAACAATATTATCTAAGTAAAATATTTTTAAGCAGATATGTTTTCCTTGTTTGAACAGTGTAAATAAGTATGATCATTTCCTTTGCATTTTTTACACGGTGCAGTACAACTTCTTGCATTATGTCCATCTTTCGGCATGTATAACTATCTCCAGAACGATTCTTATTCTTGAAACCTTTTGAACTATTTTCTGTACATTATTTGAGTCTTTAAGAAAGTCTTCATTTTGAATTTACTTGCAGTGGGTTCAGTGCCATATTTTGTATTTGATTGCTTGTCAAATTAATATTAGATTGCTTCTCTTATTGAATTAAACCTTGTAAAGTAGTAGCAATATGTGTTAAATTAAATTCAGCTGTTAATAATGCTAATTTTCATCCTAGTGCAGCACATTTATCATAAATTTTTCATTTTTCAATTGTATGCTCAATCTCAGAATCTTGATTTGAGAAATCTTATCTAAAATTTCGAATCTCATGTATAGAAGTTATAGATGAATTTTTAATCACACTCTGATCATATATTCCAGAAGAATCATATAAAGTATTGATATGATGACAAACAAGACCTTCACTAATTAAAAGTAAATATGTATAAATATGTATAAATATGTGAATAGTTTTAATACAATGCCACATAATTGGTTGATGTTGTATTAATTACTATATGTTTAACCTTCTAAATCTCCAAAATATTAATAGCATTAATATGATCAATAAGATATTTAAGTGCAACTTGAGATTTATCTATAGAATCTTCAAGAAAATTAGAAGTATTAAAATCATCAATCTTTTTTTTTTTTAAAAAAAAAAATGAATATTAATATCAAAAAAATCAATTATTATACTTTTTAACAAATAAATTTTTTACCTTATCACAGTTATAATATTGATTAGAAGGAATTAACTTTGAATAATATTTAAAAAATATATAAATTTGGACTTTTTAGATGTAAAAAATTTCTTCTATTATTTGAATCATATTTTGAAAAACTGCTTGCAATTACTTCTTCTTTCTTTTATCTACTCAATTAAAGCTATTTCTAAAGCAGAATATTTTATAAGTTGACTTTATTTAAATATTTTAAATTAGGTCGCAACTTTATAAATTGTTCTTTTTTAAATAACCAATCATAAACTTATTTGGTCTCAATATTAAATTTGCTGCTATTTCATTTTTACTATATCTCTTTTCATAATACATAATAATAGCAAGTTTCTCTCTTATATTCTATACTCTTTATAAATTTTTAAATACTCTTGCATAGTTGGTATTTTATTTGCACATAAACTTATATTGTTTTATAGTAAAATAATAAAGAAAAAGCAATTTTATGTTATGATTATAAGGATAAAAAAACTAAGAACAAAAAGTTAAAATTGAAGAAAATTAAAATAAATAGAACTTTGATTACATTATTTACAAAATTTATATTATTTATATTATCTAACATAGTATGAATTTTATTTTAAGACATTAAAAATTTAAAAATTCAAAGTAAAAAAAATGATTAATGATTATCATAAATTATGATTAGTATTCCCTTTTATTGTATTCTCTTTGTGTAATATATTTTTTATGTAGTATCTTTCTCCAAATATAATACTCTAGATATTATTTAAAATTAAGCTCAGATTTACTTGGATAGTATTCAATGCTAATATTAGTATTATATAATACTATATCTTAAATTTAAGATATATTATCCTAGAAAAAATTTAAATAATAATTATAAAAATCTAATAAGAGGTAAATTTATCTGCCAATATCTTTCTAATAAAGGAACATATATGAACGAGTTTGTAATTAATAAGAAGAATACAAAATTTATTAAAAAAAGTATCAGCAAAGTCTTTGTAAATAGTATAAGAAACTTACTGTATTAATATATAGAATATGTAATTTATATGTAAATAACTATTATTCAAAAATATATTATTATAGAAAAAAGTTAGATGTCTTAAAAAAATCTGTTCTAAGAATTTTAACTTTTAGAAGTAAAAGCAAAATAACAAATTAATCTTATTAGATTGCTAAAATACTTTTTTGATTGATTTGCTTTAGGGGTTTTAGCTAATCTAAAAAAATTCAAACTTTTTTACTTTTTTACTTTTTTTTCTATAGATATACTGACATATATCATACATATAATATATACATATATAATGCATATCTTATACATATATTACATAAACAAATTACTATTTTTTCTTTAGAATTTTATTTTACTAAGGTAGCTAAGACAACTAAGAGAAATATACAAAAACAAGATAAATCAAGAAAAGAATACTTTTTTCTATAATAAGTTCTGACTTAGAAATTGATCTAATAAAAATTTGAATTTTTTTAAAAATAAAAATATATTAAGCTAGTAAGTAGTATCATTGAAAAAAGCTAAACAAAATGATAGAAATGTAGTTACTATTAAATGGTATAATACTTATTAATTACTAATAATTATAAATATATTTATATTTTTATATATTCTTGTAAAAATTAAAGTTATATATTAGAATTTAGTATTTAAATAGGTATAGAAGATCAACATTATCAATATAGAATTAAGTATTCAAACAAATACAGAAGGTTAACACTCTTAATAGTAAATTAGATACCTAATCATATATAGAAGATTAAACACCCTTAACATAGAAGCTGATGCCTAAATAGGTATAAAAGATCAATATTTTTAATATAGAAATTAAATTGTAAATGATTTTAAAATAAAAAGAAAAAAAAAATAATTAGATTATAGAGTAATATCATTTAAATTAAAGAGTGATAACAAAAATTATATTAATATAAAAGTATAAATAGTAAGAAAAACTTAAATAAATTACTAGAATATAAAAGAGATAACAAATAAAAGAAAAGATAGGTTAAAAGATGATATTCAGACTATATTAATTAAATTATTCTAAATAAATAATTTTTTTATCATTTATTTAAAACAATATTATTATCATTATAAATGATCAATTTTCTTATTATTTATTTAAAATAATATTATTACTATTCTAAATAATTAATTCTTTTATCTTTGTTTAAAATAATATTATTATTATTAATGGTATATTACCATATAATATAATTATATTATATAGGAGTGTTTTTAGAAAAATCAGGTTCCGAGAAATTTTTGACTAAAATAAAGAGCTTAATACATTTTAATCTAATAACATCAAAAACTAAAATGCAATAAAAATTTCAATTTTACTAAAAAATTCCCAGAACCTGATTTTCCTAGCAATCAACCCATATAGTGATATATCACTTAAAATAGATTATAATATTACTATATATTTGATTACTATTATATAATTTTCTTATCACTCTATAATATGATTACTATATTATAATCTGTTTATTACCTATAATCTGAATATCACTCTATAATCTAATATCTATAATCTAACTACTATTTTATAATCTTTTAATATTATCATTTATTTGAAATAAACCATTTAAAATTTTAGATTAATCTGAAATTTTTAGTTCAGTTCAGATTTTTAATTTAGTTTTGTTTCAGATTGACACTTTTTAAAATTAATAATTTAAATTAAATAAAACTGAAAATTTTAATTTAATTTCAAATTAATCTATAATTCAAATTGAACTGAACTATTTAAAGATTAATTTATAAAAATCAATTTTGAAATACTAGAAACTCAAATAATTTAAATGAAAAATAAACTTTTGATATCATTCATAAAAAAAGTAATATTTATTATTAGAATACTTATAAAGAAATATGTTAAGAAATTGGATTAAAAAAAGTAAGAATATTTATAGTCTTAATAGAACTCTAAATGATATCAATATAATTCATAAATGATTAACATACTGTATATTTATTAATAATTTTACACATCTTTGATTATATAGTAATACCATGTAAACTTATATTTTAATTAAAAAATAACTTTAGATACACAAATTTAATATTTCAGTTATATAAATTTAAATTTAAATAATTAAAATTAATCAATATTAAATTTTATTAAAATATTTTAAAATTTATATTGTAATTAATAAAAAAAATGGAGCAGAGTTTAAAAAAATTAGAATAAATATTAAAAAATAAAAATTTAAAATTCAAAAAATAATAACAGAGATTGAATAAATAAAAAATGAAGTGAAATTCAAAAATTAAATATAGGTTAAAAACTAAAAAAAAATAAAAGTAGAAAATTCATAAAGGTTGAAAAATAACAAAAATAAAGCAAATTCAAAAAATTAGAGCAGAAGTTAAGAATTCAAATAATTAAAACAGAAGTTGGAAAAATAAAAAAAAATTGAAATTAAGTTTAAAAAATTAGAACAGAAATAAAAAAAAAAAAAAATAGAGTGGAGTTCCATTTTTAATTTTTCAACCTCTGTTCTAATTTTTTAAATTCGCTCCATTTTTTTATTTTTTAACCTTTATTCTAATTTTTTGAATTCTGTTCCATTCTTTATTTTTGTTTATTTTTTGCAACCTCTACTAATTTAATATTTAATAATTTTATATAATCAACTTTATATATTTCTAGCTCTTAGTTTTCATTTTAGTTAATTCTACGCAAAGGCATTATGTTTTTTCTTCAAAAAATTCTATACCGAGTTTTACCGATTTTTTTATCGATCTGCAAAATGATCGTCCGTCCCGTGACTTTTGAAGCTGTGATGTTAAACTACCGATTTCGGAGTTTGCTTACAAACATGCTCACAAGAAGATTTCTTGACAGACCGAACTGAAAATGGACTCGTAAGTTGAAGAAATTATAACAGGTGATGAATTTTGATTTACCAATCTTTTCATATAACATACACGTATTTCTTTAGGGGGAGGGCATCGGCTCAACGACGTAACGAAGGTCGTTAAATAACACTCCGTGCTCGGGTGCAAAAATGTGACTTTCAGGGAACATTAAAGCACAATATAAATAAATTAGAAGCGAATACAGGCCTCCGAAGTGGAACTACATCGTAAAAAAATTTTTTCGAACTCACTTGACTTATCCATAACTATGAGGGACATCTTCCATGCATTTTTTAAATATAATGCAAACTCCCCAGATGAAGATTTGCATAAAATATATATTCTCGGAGTTCCAGTCATGGGGTACGAGATAGTTGACACAACCAACCTTCATTCGTCATTCGTCATTAATTCTTTATATTATTTTGCTTCAAGGGCCGGACATATCAGGTCCTTGTAATGGATTGCAAAAGGGACTAACATTTGTAGATATGTATAACTGTATTGCACAATTCTGTAAGAACACTTTCATGTATATAGAAGTTTTACGTTGAAATGAAAAATGTCAAGGTAATTTTTGGTTTGTTATGTTACTGCTTTATAAATTTGTATGATGCAATTTTTATGCGATTATAGGTTACCCTCCATTTTATATACAACAAAGCAAATGAAATTGCTCTGTCCCATGCTCGCGTTCATAGAAATTAAGGAACACCTATCTCAAAAAAGTCACGAATATTGGAACATGGTTTCCCACTTTAACTATTATATGTAATATATGTATTTACATTAAGTGATTAACTTAATTAAGCAAAGTTTTCAACAAATGGAGTTTTAGGTCGCATTATATAATAGGTTGTTTATTGAACTGTAACTGTGTGATTGTCTCATCCGAATATGACATATGGTCTATTTATAGTCCATCTCACAGAAGGATGTTTAGCGTTGGATTCGTATGATTGCATTACTAACCTATTGCTTCAAACAATTCCAAAAGACTCAAAATATTTTTTCAAAAATGGCAGAGGCTTCGCTGATAACAACTGGACTACATCAGCAAGGATTAAATTTTGCTTCCGCAGAAAATCTCTTAATGTTGTACTTGGCAAAGTGGGCATGACATATTGTGACATATTTGTCTGCTCTCATGTCCTCCTATGTGGGCTACTTGCTATTCTGGAAGTGTGCCAGTTCCGAAAGTTATTTCCAAAATTGTTTGTTTTTAACTTTTAACTTAAATAAAAAACGCAAATTTTTTCACTGTTCTATAATTTTATTTTTCTATGATCTATTTTCACATCACTCTAACTTCAAACATGGCAAGATTTATATCAGAATATAATAATATAATGCTCATGTTTTGAGTTTATTCATTGAGACCAATAACTATATATGGGTCTTCGTAATACCAAACCAAACATATCTTAAGGCAAACCAATTCTCTTCGCTCCTTGAGTTGATCCCGCACTTATTATGCGATAAAATTATTTGGATCTCATCTACCTTAATCATAATATGGATGTTTTTTAAGATAATTACAGAAGCTTATATCAACACTAAAATTGTAAATTTAAGGCGTTAGCCGATTTGACCAATTAGCCAAAAATTTATTGTTGATCCCTCTCGAATATATTTTAGTTCGGGGTCATCATAGATAAATCTGGTCGTATTACAAATTATTAGAATCATAACAAAAAGAATTAAATTACAACTTATTAGAATCATAACAAAAGAATTAAGTCTGGTCGTATTACAACTTATTAGAATCATAACAAAAAGAATTAAATCTTATTACAAATTATTAGATCCGGTCGTATTAAAAATTATTAGAACCATAACAAATATTTAAAAAGAAAATGATTTTTTTTTTTTATAAATTTTGTAAATCTTTTAATTAAGCTTCGACCAACCAATCTATTCACAATAAATAAAAGATGATTTTATACTCGAAAATAGTATCTTTATTTCTTCTTTATTTTGTTGCTGAACAAGAATGATAATCTATTCATTAGAAACGAAAACTTTATAAATATAAGAACTTTCCACCGTTAACCTTCCAACAAAAAAAAAAATAACTTTAATAAATATAAGAACTTTCCACTAACAAATAAAAAAAAAAATTACAAAATGAATACCGTCATCAAATTCAATTCATTTATTTCAATTCTCTTATTATTCTCTTTATTCTCTTTATTCGCATTGTTCAATGAAGTAACAGCTCTAGCTATTCACAACCCGCGATGTAAGCTTTTCTTTTTTTCTTTTCTTTTCTTTTTAAATTGATCTTTTTTTAATAATTTTATTTTCCTTTTAAAATTGATCTTTTCGACCTATTTCCTTTATTTATTATACAGATAATCCATTAAATCCTGATTGTGTTTGTAAGTCTTTTTTTTTTTTTTTTAAAAAAAAAAATATGTGTATATATTTTTAATAAAATCTTTTCCTTCTTTCCCGTTCACAGCATATAAATTCATTTCTCCTAAAGCTGATGATAAAATTAAAGTGACTGACGAGATTGAAGTAGTTTGGAAAAGAGACAGCTCGAAAATAATTGAAGTACAAGGCCTTGACTTATATGATGAAAATGGAAACTTTATTGATTCATTAACGAGTCATAAAAGTATTTTCGGTGCTGACGATAAAGCTTCGATAAAAGTAAAACTTACAATTCCTTTAGACACTTCACAAACTGGTAAATTTCTGTTTAAAACTGTGGCCTCGACTGGAGAAGGCCCGACTTGTCCTGAATTTAGTAAAAAATTTTATTTAGTAGATAATACTAATTAGAAAGAATGTTCGCGTTAAAATTTTATTAATAAGATAGATCCTCATGAATAAAAAAAATATCATTATTTAATTATCATAATTTTAGCTATTTATTATGTGAAATTAAAGAAAATATATATATTATATACTTTGTGGCGAAACTTATTGAAATTATCCTAGAAATAAATTAGATAAGATAGTAGTATTATTATTATTATTTTTTTATAAAATAACTTTGCCCACCACTCAGATTTCTTTGAAACGATTTTCCAATAAATAAATTCTTCATAAAAAATTTATAAATACAATTTGATTACCCCTCGGTGGTTGTCTTAAGAAATGACATTAATACCTATGAATGCTAAATAAATTTGGTATTAATGGATGTAAATGTCGATCGATGATTTCCCTATTGTTGGTACAATGTCGTTTCAATAAAAGAAAACTTTTCATGTGCAACCAATGAATTATACAGTCAACCTTCTCTAAATGCACACACTATATATTTTTTTCTAATGCACGTTCTTGTTCAGTCCCAAGAATATAGAATTCATATAGAAAATTTCTCTTTAAATGCACATTTTTTAAAATTTTCACTATGGTCCCGAGGAGGTGCATTTAGAGAGGGTTGACTGTAATTTGTTAAGCCTTTTTGGTACCTTTTAATTTTATTTCAATAGCACGTTGCATATGACATTGGCATAATTAAATTTTTATACTTGACTATGCACGCCTGCAGCAGAAATTTAAGCAAAATCTTTTTCCGTCAAAAAAAAATTCTGGTTCCACATGTTTGCGAAGTCTAATTTCTATTAGAAAGTCTGCTATAGTATCTGTTTTTATTAACCTATTACAATTTCATTATTTTCAAGAAAAATAATGATAAATTAATAAAAAATTTTAGTAATTATTAATAAACTCTATTAGATTCATTAATTACAAATTTAAACTTACATATGACATCGATCCCATATTCATGCAGACGAATTTTATTTTTCAATTATTTTCTCAACACCTGTCATAAAAATCAATAGCTTTGTATCGGAGATTTTGAGGAAAATATGATCTCCAAATATATTTTTCAAGCCATTCGCTGAAATAAATGCGGTGAAGTTGTTTGTAAATTAAATGAACTTAAATGAAGTTAGATCTATATCAAAAGTAATTTTAAGCATTCTATTACACTCAAATTGTTTTTTTGATAGTGTATTATGCTGATGATTAGGATCTGTATATTTATGTAATTTTTTTGAGATTTATTCATAGAATTTGAAATATGAATAATAAATATTTAGGATTCAAACACAAATTACATTTTAGGATAATATAACAAAAACTTAATAAAAAGAATACTAAAATTACTTTGAAATAAAATGAATTTGGAAAATGAAATTAAAAAAATAATAAAACTTAAAATACATATATTTAAATCTTAAAAAAGGATATTAAAAGGATTTTAACTTAAAAAATATAAATGAAAACTGATATAATTCATAAAATAAGAAAATAATAGAAAGAGAAATATGAGAATATAAAGAAAAAATAATATATTAAGAAACTTGTTACTCTTTATCTATAATAACTATAAAGAAATTTGAAAAGTATTAAAATTAGATAATAATAAAATATTTAATATTAATAGTAACAGAAAAACAGAAAAATACTAATATAAAATTTGAAAGAAAAAGAAGATAAAAGTATAATTTAAAAAATATTCAAGATATAATAAATTTAGTAATATATGAAATATTACTTATAATACAGAATATAAGAAAGAATTTAAAGAATTATTTTTAATAAAAATTATTTTAAATTATGAAAAGAAGGAAAGAATTAAAAAATAAGTAAGCATAAAGGAAAAAGAAAAGAAATCTGAATATATAATTTATATAAAAATAACAAAAGATAAAATTAATAAAAAGTATTATATAAAAATAAAAATCAAATAATTATTTATAAATAACATCTGTATGAAAAAAAAAATGATACATTATAGAATTTCTATAATAAAAACTTTATTATAGTAAAAATAAAACAAATTTAAAATGCAAAAAAAAAAATTTATTATATATAAAATTAAAAATTTAATCTATAAATAAATAAACCATGATCTATGCTTTAAGAATCTTTGATTAAAATTTTAATATTTTTAATATTAATAAAGTTATACTAGATTAAATTTATCTAAAATTAATTATAAAAATTAAAATTAAAAAAATATGTAATAACAAATTTATAAGAATGATTTTTTTATCATTTATATATTTTAACTTAAATATTATTATAAATTAAATTATATAAAGATATATTAGGATATAGCAAAAGAAATATATAAGAATATTGCAATTACATATAGGTTGAATTATAATAAATTATTCTTAAAGCATTAGATTCAGTTCCTTTAATTATAATTTAAAAATATGCACAAAAATTATAATAATTTATGAATATTTATAGAAAAGATATTACTAGAAAAATGGCAGAGTTTGCAGCAAAAAAATATTATCATTATATATTTGATGTAATTTATAATAAAATAATTAAATAAAATAAAATAAATTATTTATATGATTTTTAATTTTAGTTTTTAATTGGTTTATATATATTTTACATAATGCTTATATAATTTACAAAATTGAAAAAATACTTTTTTTTATAAATTGATTTATTTTACAAATATAAATCATTTTTTTTATTTGATTAAAATCCAATTAGTGAATTAAATTTTATTAATATTTTTTCAAGTTTCTATTATAAAAGTTTTATACTGTAATAAACAAAATATATGAAAAAAATTTAAATATCTTTTAATTATTTTAATTAGCAATTAATAAATAAATATTATAATATTAATTTAATAAGAAAAAGACTTTAAATTGAACATTTTAAATAGCATATAGTGAAAGAGAAAATAATTAAACTATATCAGATAAATTAGCTAAACTTATAAAAAAAAATTTCAGAATATAGAAATAAGAATTAGAAAAAATAATATAAATATAATAGAATTTGAATCAATTTTATAAAATATACATTTTATCTGTATTTTTACATCTATTAAAGTATTATAAAATATACATTTTTTTTATGATATTTTCATTTATTAAAACATTATAAAATATACATCTTTTTCTTATTTTTACATCTGTTAAAGCATTATAAAATATACATTTTTCCTTATTTTTTATATATATTTTTTTCACTTTTCTGTATTAAGTTTAAGGATTTTACTTAAGAAAAAAATATATATTATACTAAAATTCCATAAAATTATATGTTATAAACCTTAATATTTTTATGGAATTTTTATATCAAATTTTTTATTAATCAACTTCATTGACATTATCAATATTAATATTATCATCATTATCATAAAAAGGTACAGTAATAATAGTATACTTTGCCAAATAATAGGATTACCAGTAAATCCTGTAAAATTTAATTCTTTTTTAATTGCTTATTAAAGTAATTTTTTAATTGTTTAAGATTTGATATTATTATTACTAACAAATTTGAGCTTTTTAATTGAGAATTAAAGATTACTGATAATATTTTAATAAGCTTAAATACTTCTTAATATTCTTTTAAAGATGAATAAATCAAAGCTTTTACTTTTTTTAAAAGGTTTATGATAATAACTAAATCTTCAATAAGTCTTTAATTTTAAAATCTAAAATTTATATTACTCTTCTTTCATTTTTTATATTATTAATTATTCTTCTATACTTTTTTCTTCCTCTTTTCTTTTTCTTATACCTTTTTTTTTCTTTTTTCTTCCTCTTATACTTCTTAATAGAATTCTAATAAATCTTAATTTGATTAAAAATAGCATAACAATTCATCTTCTAAATCTGTTTCATTCCTTTAATCATTAATTGATATATATTAATTTTAAATAAATTTATTATAAATTAATATTTGATTATAATTTATAAATATTATTTTTAATAATTAAAGTTATATATAATTACTTCTATTAGTTTTACTATTTTTATATTCAATTTTATTAGCTAATTGCATTCTAAGATTTTTAGATTATATAAATTTATAAAGTAAATCTAATAAATTATCATTAGATTTTTCATCTTTAGAAGTAAATTTACTTATTAAGTAATATATTATTAGATCTATAAAGCTAAAGATAATTTATTTGAATTAGATAAAAGTTCTGTAGTATTTTAAAATAGCTTTAAAGATTTACTAAATCTTGTAATAAATTATAAAAATTTATTTCATTAAAATAAATTTTAATTAGTATTTATTTAATAAATACTATTAATATATATGTTTATTCTGAATTTGTAAGAGCTATAATTTTTAATTTTAATAGTCTTAATTATATAAATATGAATTATTCTATTGTGTATATATATCTTATTTGAAAAACTTTTAGATATTCTTAATCTTTTGTATATTTTTTAATCATCCTATTTACTTCAGACTTAAAATAAAAAAAAGAATAAGGTTGTTAATTCTTTTATAAATTGCTTTATTAGCTCTAAGCCTTTATAATAGAAAGATATAGTATATGTATAGCATACCTATATTTTTAACTCTATTCATTAAAAAAATTGCATAAACCATTATTTGTTGTATCTATAAAACACTTGTTTTTAAATTCTAATTCTTAAAAATAGTATTTAAACAATTTTTAATACTTTTAAATATATGCAGATTAGAAAATAATTCTATACTAATTAGCATTTTATATAATTGCATTTTTAGCTTAACCATAAAATTATTACATTAATGTAACTATCATATTTATGAAAAATCAAAAGAACTATTATAAAATTAATACTTGTTACATTAGATTTTAGCAATTCTTTAAGATTATCTTTTGTCTAATATAACTTTTATATATCATTTCTTTGTATTTTTCTTTAATTAAAATACTAAAATCTGATTTAAATTTATGAAATATATCTCAAAATATATTATTTTAAAGAATATTTAATGGTTGACAATCAAGAATAATAAATTTTATGAGTGACTGTTCTAAAAATAATTAACACTTTATAATAATATATTTCATTATAGTTCTAATATTACTATTTGTATTTATAAGTTCTTTTGTATAATCTTTATCAATTTTATACTTCTTCTAAATATATACTTAAGTAGTAATAGCTAAAATACCTTTGTTTACTTATAATGCTTAATAATACTTTATTTTTACATACTTAATGAACATAATATAGCTATTTTTTTATTTTATCATATTTTTTAATAAAATAGTCTCAAATTATACTTAAATTTTCTTGTTTATATCTTTATTAGTTATATTAAATACTTCATTCATTTTTTAAAATGAAAATTGAATAAAAAAAAAAATCAATAAAATAATAGATTGATAAATTGATTTACATATATCATAATTTACAAATTTTAATATAGAATTGATTTATACTATACATTTTAACATTTTAAAGTAAAGTTAATTAATTTGACTGATTTTTATATACTATTTATAGACTAGTTTAAATTAATAAATCAGTTTATAAATTTAAACTAATTTTTATATTATAAAGTATTTATCACATTTTAAAAAATATTTTTTAAAACTAATTATTGAATAAAATGGTTAAAAACTGAAGTCTAAAAATTGGTCTTGAAGTATTAATTATATATTTATATTATATACAATTCATAAATACAAATTATTATGTGATTTATTTATTAAACCATTTTTATTATAAATTTTAATCTATTATAACTAATATTAATAAGAACTAATATATTAAATATATTTTAATATATATAATTTAATTCTAAAAAAAAATTATAGTTAAAATTTAGTTTTAGTTTATCAGAATTATATATATTTAATTTTATTATATATTTAATAAAATTTAAATTATATATAAATTAATCAAATTTAAATTAACATTTAAATATTTAATAGAATTAAATTAATTATAATTAAATTTATTTTTTGAAATTTTAGAAATATTTATCAATAATATTTAAAAATAAAATTATCTTTAAATTTTTAAAGATAATTTTTATTAATTATTTGATTATTAAAAGTTTGAAGTATTTAATATTAATATTATAATAAAATTTACTTTTAAAATTTAAATATATTTTTTACTAATTATTAATAATAAAAATTATTTTTAAAAGTTTTAATAATTACTATTAATTTTAATTTAATATACTATGAATTAATTTAGATTTATTCTAATTTAATTTAATAATATATTCAAATATATTTGATTTAAT